GGAGGAGCACATACCACTGTAATAGCCATGATTTTTTTCATCCCCCAAGAATCAATTTTCACTCCCTTGGAAACAATATTGTGACTCCCCACCCTAAATTATGGGTGAATGGGTTCTTGGAAGACACAGATTAGATCATCAGACTTAAGATGAAGAGTAGATGATAAATGTACAGTGTAGGGGTATGACTGAATTCATCAGATGTTTTCTAAATAGGCCCAAAGTGTAGAATAATTAAACCAACTCAGCCCCGTGAAATAAATGGTACCTTTATTATTTTTAAATTTTTTAATGTTTTGTGTTTTATTTTGAAATAGAGAGAGAGCATGAGTGCAAGCAAGGGAGGGGCAGAGAGAAAAAGAAAGAGAGAGAATCCCAAGCAGGCTCCATGAGATCATGACCTGAGCTGAAATCAGGAATCAGATGCTTAACAGACAGAGCCACCCAGGCACCCCAAATGGTACCATTACTGACCTATACATACATATATAGGTATATTTACATTGTACTGATGATCTTTAAGTATATTTTAAGATCATATATGAAACAGTCAAGACGGTGCCCAAAGACACTCTCAAAGGTGTTTTTGGGTGTCACAAAGACATTACAAACCCCTCTCCCAGCACAGCATTACTGGATTTCTCCCTGTTGCAACCCCTCCCAACACAACACTGAACAAAATTTCTCAATAAATTCTATGAGTATTTATTGTGTGTGAAAATTAAGACTTCTCAGTTTTCATTTGTATAACTAACGTAATGAATATCTGTATATATAAAATCTGTATATGCAAAACCACATCGATTTCAGTGCTAGTGAACTCTTTTTAACAAAATTCTGGTTAATGTTACCATATGAAAAAGTGATAACCATCCTTTTTCACAGAATCAGCTGGTACATGGGCAGTCTTTGTGATATCCCACATTTTTTAGCAAATGTAATATAGGCTTATGATGGATGAAGTTGGTTGAAGATAAATAGATCCTGGAAGTATAATGTACAGCATGGTGATTATAGTTAACAACATGGTATTGTACATTTGAAAGTTGCTAAGAGTAGATCTAAATGTTTTCATTATAAGAAAAAAATGTTGTAACTATTGGTGGTGATGGATGTTAATTAAGCTTATTTTGGTAAACATTTAGCAAGGTATGCATATATCAAATCCTTATGTTGTATGAATAAAACTAATATTTGTATGTCAATTATAGCTCAATTTAAAAAAAATAAGCTTTGCTTTTTCTTTTATTATTTGTGAAATTGCCATCTTTGTTTTTTGTTTTTTATACAGTGAGAAAAATTTTGATTATTCTACTAGGAGACCAGAAAACTGGTCAAAAATCTTTTTATATTATATTCTGTGGTAAATGTGCATTCTGCTGTCATGCTCTGGTGGCAGCAAACTATAAATGATATATGGATATGAAAACACCTGCCATTTATATGCAGAATGTCTCCATAAGCTCTTCCTGCAGACAGATAGACATTGGAATATCTTACACTGACACAAGGACCTTCTATTAGAAAAAGCTTGAATTCCTAGCAATCTAAAAATGCAGAATAATCACACGTACCTACCTCTGAGTAGCTGGGCAGGGGAATATCTGTTGTTTTAAGACAGAAGAAGAGGAAGTTGGGACCAGAAGGAAACCTAAATAATAAGCTAATCACTTGCTCCACCTCTCCTATGAGTTTTAATCAATTGCAAAAAAGACACAATGAGCCAAACGTTGGTTAAGTGTCAGTATTATCATCCAAAGTACAAAATTCACTGTTCATCCTTTGTGGGAGGATACTGGCTTAGTTCCTAAAAGGAAATGAGGCTATTAGCTTCTCCCTGATTTAAAACTCACCTGCACAAATAAGAGACTTACCTGAATTACCTACCAAGCCAGAGGAAGAGGTGTTAGAACAGAGATGGTAGAGACATGGATAATAAATGAAGAAAAGGACATTCCTGTTTTGTCTAGCACAGTGGTTCTCAAAGTGGATCCAAGGCCCACAGCATCAACATCACTTGGAAACCTGCTAGAAAGGCAAAGTCTTGGACCCTATCCCAAACTACTGAATCAAAAAATTCTGGGGATGGGACACACCAATCTGTTTTATTAAGCCTTCCAAATGATTCCGGAGCCCATCAAAATTTGAGTGACACTTGTCTACATATGGAGAACAGAAAAACAAGATCCATGTGGTCTCTGGGACAGAAAGCCAATCCTGCTTCCTATGCCAGAGAAAAAGTTACCCACACCTGGAACTTGGCCCATAGCTATCAGGTTTTCACCAATTAGATGCACTTCCTTTGCTTGACTGAAAAAGAGTGAGAAAGAGTTCACTCCTCCAGAAGCCAAAGTAGAAAGATAAGGAAAGAGATATTACTAAAACTAGGAAGAAATTGGTCCTTATATCTGAACTTGAAGCCAAATACTGGTCCACCAGTGAAACATGAATGACTAAAGAGGGTCCACTGTTGTGCGGATTTGTCTTTTTCTTCTGGTCACATTGACAAGGATTCTGAAAGATTCCTAAATCTTTTTTTTTTTTTTTTTGGTTGATAAAACCATATTTTTTTAAAGAAAAGCAGGGCTATCTCCTATAGTCTCTTCTTAAGTTTTTTTTAAAGTTTATTTATTTTTAAGAGAGAGAGAAATAGAATGTAAGCAGGGGAGGGGCAGAGAGTGAGGGAGACATAGAACCCAAAGCAGGCTCTAGTCTCTGAGCTGTCAGCACAGACCCCAATGCGGGGGTTGAACTCAAGAGCTGTGAGATCATGACCTGAGCCAAAGTCTGGTGCTTAACCAACTGAGTCACCCACGTGCCCCACCTATAGTCCTTTCAAAATCTTGCCCAAATATCTAAAAAAAAAAAAAAAAAAAAAAAAAACATAGATTGGAAATTCTTTATAGTTTAGTATAAAGGTATTTCCTCTACCAGTGAGTATGAACAAAAGAAAAGGAAAGTATGAACTTTGAAATATCTAAAAAAACCAAAAAAACCCACAAAAACATAGGTTGGAAATCCTTTATAGTTTAGTATAAAGGTATTTCTTCTGTCAGTGAGTATGAACAAAAGAAGGAAGGGAGGAACAAGGAAGGAAGGGGAAAGAAGAAAGAAAGAAAGAAAAGAAAGAAAGAAAGAAAGAAAGAAAGAAAGAAAGAAAGAAAGAAAGAAAGAAAGAAAGGAAAGAAGGAAGAGGAAGGAAGGAAAGAAGGAAAAAAGAAAGAGAGAGAAATAAAGAAAGAATACTCATTCTAGATCAGATGAGATCGGGCACATTCAGGGTGGTATGGCAAGAATACTCATTCTAAAAACAGAAACCAGGAGACAGGAGAAAGAAAAGACAACAGCCTTGATAAAGAAATATATACATAAAATTTTAAATACAAGCATTTTAAGCCAGTATTTGCACATCACTTCCCTATCAAATATTCAACTAGTGGTTTCTTAATAGAATGAGTAAGGTTCATTCTGTGGTAAAAGATAAGTTACTAAAGAACTTAAGAAAAAAAATCGGAAGGCAAGTAAACTATGAATTCAAAATTAACATCAAAATTATTTTTATAAGGATTTTCCATTCTTAAGATTTTTAATTTAACTAATTTAATTTTTGAGAGAAAGAGAGGGAGTGTGAGCAGGGGAGGGGTAGAGAGAGCCAAAAAGAGAATCCCACACAGGCTCCATGCCCACCATGGAGCCCAATGCAAGGCTTGATCCCAGTTGTCCCAAGATTTTTTATTTTTACTTTTAGGCAATCTCTACACCCAGTGTGAGGCTTGAACTTACAACCTTGTGATCAAGAGTCACATATTCTACTGACTGAGCCAGCCAAATGCACCCAAAGGTAATTTTTTTAATGCAAGTTTTTTATTCACTAGGTGATTATATGGTGTGTGTGTGTGTGTGTGTGTGTGTGTGTGTGTGTGGAGAAAGAGAGGAAGAGAGAGAGAGAAGATGCTCAAATAAGTTTGAAAAATACTATTGTAAGCAAAATTAAACAGTTTCCTGCTTCCTTTTCTTCACAGCTCCTCAGGGGTTTAAGATAAATAAGCTAATCTGCTTTCTACATTTCTAAAGTATGCTATGCAGCATTTCTCAAACTTGTTTCACTATGGAATCCTTATTTCTCTACACAACTACCATCTTAATCAGATCCAACTTAGAAAATGGTGACCGATCTTTGCTGTCTTATTAGGTGTTTATGTCATTTCAGATTAGTTTATATTTATGTGGAAACTTTAATATTTTCCTGATCATTTGAATCCCCAATTGGATAATATAATTAAGTATAAATTTTGCACAATCTATCCACCAGCCTTACTTATAGCCTCCCTTCTTTGCCTTTTAGTTTTAGATTGTATGAAATTGGTTTTACATTCCAGTTCAACAAATATTTATTAAATACTTACAATAGGTCCTGAATTTCAAATGGAGGTAAGTATAGGTAGATGAAAAATAATCATGAAACATATTTCTTAGGAGTTACGACATGGGTAAACCATATCTAGATGCAGAACCGGTGCTGAAAAGTCAATATCATGTGGGGGGAATAGTGTTTTATTTTAAACGTCACCATCTATTCTTGAAGTAGGATAATATTTAGTTTATATGAAGGTTGTTGTTTGTTTTTTTTTTTCCCTGTACTTCTTTTTACTTTATCCCCTTCAAGTGATAAGGTCTTTGGGATGATAGTGGGGTTTATGGGGTCTGGAGCTGAGGACCAAGAAGGAATTCTTGAAGATGTCTTTGGTAAAAAAAGGTGTCCTGGTATCATGAGGAGAGACTGGTTTTATACTATGGTGTTGAGAGTGAGGTCAAGCCCAAGAGAAGTTTCCAGTGAGATTTTCAAATGCTAAAGAAGATTACAGGGTACTGAAAGCCTAGCTATTGTCAAGCTAAGATTTATTCCCTCTGGCAAAGCATTAACATTAAGACAGTAGGGAGTTCTGGACATTGTACTCTGCCTGACTCAAGTATTTGTCAATGGGCTGTAAGGTTATAAGGAAATTTAGTTCTATCTGTCATTTCCTTCTGCCCTTTGTTTCCCACTTCATTATGGAGGACTGCAGGACTATGATCTCTATCAGTTAACCATTTGTTTTCCCCTTTCCTTTGTTCTTGGGCAGCCAGGAGTGCCTGAATATCACACATATTCCACCTGGGGTGGGGGAAGGGAGGAGGGGAGGGGTGTTTGTGGCCTGTCAGTTTGCTTTATGCTCCCTCATCACAAGCACATAGTAAACTCATTGCCTCAGGGAAGGAAAGTAGAAAAAAGGGTATCTTCAGGGCTTTTGGTTTACAAACGTATTAATTCATTAAGGAGATTTTGCTTGATGCTTATGAAGCAAGCAAAAGATGAATTGTTTTGCCTGGATAGAAGACAGATGGAGCAGAGATATTGAAAGGAAAACATCAGAGGAACCTGGAGGGAAGAATTCTGTATTTCAGGGCCCAGCAGAGTCCAGAGCTATGGTTAGCCCTTAGAAGGGCTTGGTAGTGTGGCATGTCTGGGTAATGGGCCATTTAAACAGTTTCTCATATTTTCATTCTCTAGCAGGGCTGGAAGGTAGCAGGATCATTTCAGGGCCATCAAGACATAACTTCAAGAACAGATGATCTGCGGATCCTGGATAGAACCTTGAGACTTCTTCCCATCAAATGTTTTGGCAGTATGTAAAAGCTCCAAAACCTAGAAGTAGAAACCCCAAAATAACTATCTACTATACCAACAAGATGGGAGCTAATATTAGACTGTTATCAAAAGAAAGAAAGAAAGAAAGAAAGAAAGAAAGAAAGAAAGAAAGAAAGAAAGAAAGAAAGAGAAAGAAAAAAAATATTTTGTCTGAATCTGTAGACTGAAATTCATAATTGCTATGCATGATAGAAAATACCTTCTTGGTACCAAAGATATTTAATTTTATTCAATAGGGAGGATTTAATAGCTAAAATAGAATGATACTCTTCCCCCTATAGTCTATAAAAGTTTTTAAAAACAATTATTAAGAAAGTAGGGATAGAAACTTTTAACTATTGCATCATGTTTCAAATGTAATTATCTTCTCTGCCACTTCTGGAATATTAAGGCTAGAAAAAAAAAAACTCATTTGAAAGAAGTCACAGAAGTCAAAACAGAAAGTTTATGATGAGGAGGAACAATGTGGTTGGGTCTCCAAAACATAGTTCTTAGTTTTTTAAACAGCTTCCTTTTTTTTTTTTTTTTTTCTAGGAGAGAGAGAGAGAGAGAGAGAGCGTGAGCAGGGGAGGGTCAGAGAGAGAGGGAGTCACAGACTGAAACAGGCTCCAGGCTCTAAGCTGGCAGTCAGCACAGAGCCCGACGTGGGGCTCGAACCCACGAACTGTGAGATCATGACCTAAGCGAAAGTTGGACGCTTAACCGACTAAGCCACCCAGGCGCCCCTAAACAACTTCCTTAATCCTACTTCAAATGTAAGATATTTGGCATAAAATAGAAGATAGAAGCAGAAATATCATGAGTTTGTCATCATGGTTCATCCTAGCTCATAATTTCTTTGGTTAAATAATTTTCTAAATTGATTCAGGTTTACTCATTCCTTTAAGGAATTTTTAATAGAATTCACCTCCATCCTCAAATTCCATTCCCAACTCCATTGGGAATTCTTCACAGAAGGAGACAAAGACAAGGAAAGAATCAGAAACTCTTCTAGACAAACAACATTCTTTTCAACAATTGTTTTCAGGTCTGGCTGCATATGAAAATCACTAGAGATTTAAAAAAAATACCACTCTTGTTATTCCTCACACTAGGTGTGGCCATGTGCCTGCATTAACTAAATAAAAATCTATGGCAGAGATTGCTAGCTGTCTCTTAATATACATCTTCCCTTCTATGTGTACATACCAATGGATTTAAAGAGCTACATTGTTCTAGACACCAAAAATATGCAAGAGAACAAAGCAACTAAAAATTTCTGCCTTCCTGGAGCTTCTGTTATAGTAGAAACAAAAAGATATATAAATTAGCAGAATATAAAATATGTTAGATGGTAAGAAAAGCTGTGAAGAAAATAGAGAATTTACTTACTTTTATAACTCTATAGATTTTAGATGTAAAAATATTGGGTAAGAAACCCAACAAAGGCAGGAAGATTTGGTGTTTAAACAAGTTAAATAACTGAACTTACCAACATAATCCTGTTATCAAAGTCTTATAGATGCCTTTTAAAGTATGTCAACCAAGTAAAGTAGTTGAAGTCTTTGGAATGCAGATGTTGCTTAAAATGTAGTCCCTTCGATGGCAGCATCTGTAAGAAAGCATGACACAACGTATTGGGAGCCATTTCTGAACCAATAAATTTAGAAAAAACTCCTTGTGAGTTTAAGGTAAATTGCAGAGACTCTTACCTTCAGGTGGCAATCGATATCCACCCCCAGTCAATTGTTTCTGCTTGAGCACCGACCCCCAAGGCACCCAAGGCACCCTGTTGATTGATATTCGGAGTGACTCATTCTGGTCTTCATGGGCTGATTGTACTTTGTGAAGGAACTTACTGTAGGAACTTCTTCTTTTGTGGTTATGAAAGCAACATTGCTTCCTGAAAGACCTGTTTTTCTTAATACCTCCCATTAAGTGATAAACAGGCTATTGACCCCTACTCATAAAGAACTAACTTTTGCCTTTACTATGCTAATGCCACCTCTGGGCTGTTCCCCATACCTTTTGCATATCAATGTTCTGGAGAATCTTTACTGATCAAAGAATTTATCATCAGAATGCCACATCTGTGCCTTCCCCCAAACATGAAATCATAAAGTCGAGTCTCAGACACTGCGAAGATGCCTAGCTGGTCCCAGAAAGAACCTTGTGCCTCTCTCATCCCTCCCTCGCTGACACCGTCCATCCTTCAGGGACCCCTGGACCTGCTGGAGTGGGACTCTGGCTCAACTGCTTTCAATCTTGGCTTATATTTAGGCTTAGCTTCTCAAAAGGAAGCTTTCCGATATTCTAGCATATATGGATTGAGGAAAAATCACTGCAAGTTTTTCTAGTAGAAGCATGAGTTTAGTCCTGACATTGGTCAGGTCCTGGATGGTTAGTGAGTGTACTCAAATGAGAAGATGTGTTGAGCTAATGGTCCCAAACTGTTGGTTAGGCTGGGCCCTGAGGACAAAGGCCTGTGGTCCAATGGGGAGGGAAAAGTTCAGGGCCCATTGGCACGGATTTAATTGTCTAAGGGAACAGAGGAGCCAGTGTTTCTATGTAGTAGTCATTCTTGACATCAAATTGATCCAGGAATGCACATTCAGGTTGCAATTTAACCCCAGAGAAAGTGGAGATCAGAGCCCCAGGCAAAGAGGCTGAGATCTGATCAGTACTTTATGATGTCAGCAACCTTTGATTCTGTCTGAGAATCCACTTCCCTATCAAGGGAAAGTGCATGGATTGAGAAGACATGTCAGGCAGGAGGCACCCAGAATGATTACCTATACCCTTCCCACTCAGTTGTACTGAAAGTACATTCCTCAAACACCTATAGGTACCAAGTACCGAGCTAGGTACAAGAAAACAATATAAGAATAAAATATTTAGTTCTCACTGTCCAACTGTCCAGAAGCACATGCTTCAAGGGGAAAGGCAGGCAAATAAGTTGGCAATTACAATCTCTTGTAATGAAGGCAGGTTAGTAGAAGGACCAGGTTTTTGTTGTTGTTGTTTTAAGTTTTATTATTTATTTATTTTAAGAGAGAGAGTGTGAGCAGAGGAGGGGCAGAGAGAGAAGGGGAGAGAGATTCCCATGCAGGCTCCACACCAGAAACATGGGACCCAACGCAGGGCTCGAACCCACAAACAGTGAGATCATGACCTGAGCCGAAACCAAGAATCAGAGCTTAACTGTCTGACCAAACAGGCACTCCTACAAAGGGAAATCTTTTAAAACAAAAGTAAATAAGTAATATTGTTGAAAAAGAGAACAAGATTTACTGAGGCTAGACTAAATTATGCAAGTGGTATATATCATGTCTATCACAGTGCAGAGTCAGCTCCGCTTCACCTGGTCTTTGCTCTGGAAACCAGGCAAGTCACATGTCAATGACACGTTGTTCTTCTTCTCCTGCTTCTTCTGCTTCTTCTGTTTCTTCTGCTTCTTATTTTTCTACCTACCTTATGTTCTACTTCACTTCTGGAGTTACCTTTCTATAACATTAATCTAATCATCAGATTCTTCCTTAAAATCGTTTGAGCCAGAACTTCACCTGCAGGTAAATCCTCAATTCGTAAAGAAGGTATTTAAAACTGTTTATGATCTGACTCATCTAGCTCAATTCCCCCTGTCTGGTGGTTCTTGAATGAAGAATTCACATTGCAGTAATACCGAACACCTTCCTGTTCTCCAATGTTCAAAACTATCTTTGCTTTGCAACTTGTTCATCCTCTGCTTGATGCTCTGATGTGCTTCCCTGATCGTGCTCTTTCTCTCTGAAGCCCCTCACCAATTTGTTCCCTCTTTCTCTCTCAAAATAAATTTAAAAACTTGAAAAAATAAAAATATTTCCCTTTATAACATTTATATACTTGTTTTTAACGTATTTAAACAATGTAGGCATTTATAAAATTTTAAAAAATGAAATTTACTTTACCTCTTCCCTAGACACCCACTTTGCTCTCTAGAGGTGATCACTGAAAGTATGCTTTCACATATATTTGTAAATGTATTTACATATATGTAATATACATGTAAATAGATAGATTTGAATCATAGTATGATACACACCTAAGTATCTATCTCTGGATTTCCTTTTTTCATTTAATAATATGTCTTAGAGAAAGACACAAAGAAATGAAAAAACATCCCATGCTCATGGATTGGAAGAATAAATATAGTTAAAACGTCATTACTACCCAAAGCAATCTACACATTCAAAGCAATTCCAATCAAAATTGCACAGCATACTTCTCAAAACTAGAACAAACTATCCAAAAATTTGTATGGAACCACAAAAGACCCTGAATAGCCAAAGTAATATTGAAGAAGAAAACCAAAATGGGAGGAAACAACATCCCAGACTTAAGCCTCTACTAAAAAGCTATCATCATCAAGACAGAATGGTATTGAAACAAAAACAGACAAATAGACCAATGGAATAGAATTGAGAACTCAGAATTGGACCCAAAAGTATACAGCCAACTAATCTTTGACAAAGCAGAAAAGAGTGTCCAATGGAAAAAAGACAGCTTCTTTAACAGATGGTGTTGGGAGAACTGGACAGCAACATGCAGACGAATGAAACTAGATCATTTTCTCACACCATACACAAAAATAAACTCAAAATGGATAAAGGACCTGAATGTGAGACAGGAAACCATCAAAACCCTAGAGAAGAAAGCAGGAAACAACCTCCTTGACCTCAACCGCAGCAATTTCTTACTTGATACATCCCCAAAAGCAAGGGAATCAAGAGCAAAAATGAACTATTGGGACCTCATCAAGATAAAAAGCTTCTGCATGGCAAAGGAAACAATCCACAAAACTAATAGGCAACCAACGGAATGGGAAAAGATAGTTGCAAGTGACATATCAGATAAAGGGTTAATATCCAAAATCTATAAGGAACTCACCAAACTCCACACCTGAAAAACAAACAACCCAGTGAAGAAATGGCAGAAGATATGAACAGACACTTCTCCAAAGAGGACATCCAGATGGCCAACAGACACATGAAACGATGCTCAGCATCGCTCCTCATCAGGGAAATACAAATCAAAACCACACTGAGATACCACCTCATACCAGTCAGAGTGGCTAAAATGAGCAAATCAGAGAACTCTAGATGCTGGCGAGGATGTGGAGTACACTGTTGGTGGGAATGTAAACTGGTGCAGCCCCTCTGGAAAATAGTGTGGAGGTTCCTCAAAAAATTAAGAATAGAACTCCCCTATGACCCAGCAATAGCATTACTAGGAATTTACCCAAGGGATACAGAAATGCTGATGCACATGTACCCCAATGTTCATAGCAGCACTCGTTGTCAACAATAGCCAAAACATGGAAAGAGTCTAAGTGTCCATCAACAGACAAATGGATCAAGAAGATGTGGTTTATCTATACAATGGAATACTACATGGCAATGAGAAAGAATGAAATCTGGCCATGTGTAGCAACATGGATGGACCTTGAGGGTGTTATGGAGTAAACACATTTTAAACTTTCATAAACACTGCCAGTTTGCCCTTCAGAAAGTCTATTTCAATTTATATTTACATCAATAGTGTATAAGAGTCACAACTTTGTTTTCTTTACTTTAACATTTTCATTTAATATTTCTCTCTATTCTCTTTGCCCAAAGGCTCAGATTTTTTCTTTCCAGACATCTTGAATCATGGGTTTGGGTGGTGTGTGAGTGAGTGTGTATGTATGTGAAAAATGGTTCGATGGCACAGGATTGGAAAATTTCAAACAATCTTCGCTTTCTTGCCTTGCGTTATTTGTGAAGATGTTTCTCATCATCTTTGTTAAAAATTGTAATATTATTCACCAGTACCTCATTATAAAATCCTTTGCTATAATGGGGGTTATTATGTCCTTAATTCACTACACATTCATATTTTATGTATCTTCAAGAATATTATGGAGATTTTCATATGGAGTATGTAGCTATTCATGTACTATTGAATAGAGCACTCATCTTCTATATCAGAAGGTCAAATCTTTGAGAGATATATTTGTAGAGTTCCAGTCAAGCTGAATTTATTTTGATATCTGAGAGATAGGAAACAGATTAAGCTCAGTCATTGTGAATCTCTACTGATATTCAGAAAGCCTATAATATAGATTCTATCTGATTCTAAAGATGAGAATTTAATTGAAATTTTACTAAATTGACTTTTACTTGCAAAATATTCATTGTTCAAGCTTATTAGCAATAGGCTTCCAGAGTTCTAAAGTGGGTTATATCCTTCCTCAAAGGAGTTCCTCTAAGCCAATGTTTCCTCCAACCACCTTACTCCTCCTGACTGGGTGGTTTAAGGATTGCCTCACAAGATTGGATTTCATAACGGGTGACAATGGGTTAATCAGAGTTTCAGATTTTGCCACTCTTCCTTTATCATATATAACTGAGATTTAACTTGGGCTAAAAAAAGACATTGGCTCTTTGAACTATATTTATTCAGCCAAGAACTTTCATGCTCAATTGAAAAACCAAGAGAAATCATATCATCCCAATGTACAAAACTGAGCAGTTATTGCTAACAGCCTTTCTGTTGTGTCATATGTATGTTTCTTTACCTTTTGCTTTCCTGTGCCTCGTGGATTTTTCAGAGCCTGACACTACAGATGGTTTGGAAATTATGTCTAACCACCAACTGATCTATCCAGGCTGTTCTTATTTTTTAAATGGTTAACTGAGACCGGTGTAAGAGTCTCATTTATCAGTCTTTTCTTGGTGAAGGGTAATTTTTCCTCTATTTTCAAAATAATCTCTATTCATTTGGTTGTCAACTAGTCCTCCCCGACTATGG